ACACTTCTCAACCTATAAAACAGATAAATAAATATTTTTTCCCCCAATATCAAATCTCTTCAAACGCCCCTCTGAAAGTCCTGAAGTTTTTTCAGGACTTATACGGTATCTCTGGGATTAGTAGTTTTTCGTATTTTTAAGAAAAATTTGGATTACTAAATAAAGAACATTTCACCTAAGAATAAGACATTTTCTCCATAAGATAACTATAATGAAAGACTAACCATTTGATAAGATCCTCTTTGGAGTGGCTAAAAATAAATCGTCAGTAGTTACAAGATCTTTGGAGGTATTAAACCAGGAAGTAAAACATAACACTATCTCTAGATGGGAAATTGAACTAAATAAATCCTTTTCCTGTCAAGACTGGTTAAATTCATTTGAAGCATTAAGGAAAACAATCCATTGTATAAATATACAAGACACATATCTCAAACTTATCCATAGATGGTATATGGTCCCTACGAAAACATGTAAATTTCAAACAAACTCCTCAAATGTCTGTTGGCATTGTAATCATGAATGTGGCTCAGTTAAACATATTTGGTGGGACTGTATTGGTTTGGACATTCTTAAATCAGGAGTCTCTAAACTTTTTTTGGATCTAAAATTGAATATTATTCTATCTCCAGAAAGATTTCTATTCCGCCTAGACTTGCCAAAATGGATAAATCATCTCAGTACTTGTCCATACATGTCTTGATGGCTGTCAAACTCTGTATTGCCAGAAAGTTGAAACAGAACATACCTTCCTCTATAACTGAGATTAAAAGCCAGATGCAATACCAAGGACTAATGAAAAAGGTGGTTTGTTTCAAAGATAATAATATTGGTTCTTATAATAAGATATGGACAAAATGGTTCAATTACTATAAAGAATATAATATTCAGGTCTTAGTAAAAACAACAAACCCTGGCATAGACACTCCTATACGATAAAGCGCTTTCCAAAGATGGCTCTAGACCCAATGAATTAAATATTAAAGAAGTGATATTGACACCGCCCATCTCCTTGATCTCGATTGTTGACCTTATGTTTTTATGTTGTAGGTTTTATTTATGTTTTTTGTATTATTTATTTTTGATGATGAAACTTTGAAACTTTGATGAAACTTTGATAAAGAGCTCAACTTCAAGAGTATACTAACTCCAGATATTAATGTATAAAGCTATAAAATTGAGAAACGAAATATATGCAGATTTATCGTAATATTTTGACATACCATTTTTGGTTTGTTGTGACTTGAAAGATGATGTTGAACCCAAATGTTTATTATTTGTTTAATATTTGTCAAATTTGCAAAATTATAAAAAAATATTAATTTATAAAAATTTCTCTTATCCCACAAACCAACACACAAATATGATAGCACATTAATTTCCCAGCTTGTAGGATTCATACTCACATACAGCTATTTCAGTTTTAATAACAATAACTACCTACAAAGGACAGGGACAGCGATGGGCACAAAAATGTCACCCCAATACGCAAATTTTTTCATGGCTGACCTAAAAAACTGAATTTTATGTATACAGCCGCACAAACCATTATGTATACAGCCGCACAAACCATTAAATCGATTATATTTTCATAATATGGACAGATAGAGAAGAAAGCCTTATAGACTTCCATAAATCATTTAATTCATTCCACCTGTTAATAAAACTTAAAATGAACTTTTCAAATCATAGTGAGTTTCTTGGACTGCACAGAAAAATGTCACCAATGGCATTCTTGATTTGTGTGTTTATAGAAAACCCACAGACAGGCACAGCGATCTCCACAATTCCAACTTCCATCCCAATCACACCAAACAAGGTATTATCTACAGGCAGCCATGCTATCAGATATCACCGCATTTGCTCTGACACAAAAGACAGAGATCACAGATACACACACACACACACACACACACACACACACTGATACATACTAACAGAGACACATACTGAAACAGACATACATGCTTTTAGGCATACATACACACACAGGCATACATAGATACATACAGACACATATGCATAAGGACATACACACAGACATTCATTCATAATGACATACAGACAGACATAAATACATTCATACTGGCATACAGACACTGACATCTATACACACATACATACACAGACAGACATTAATAATGACATACATACATACATTCATACAGACAGACACACATATATGCATACAGACACTGACATCCATACACACATTCATAATGACATGCATACATACATACATAGATACTGGCATACAGACATACATACAGACAGACAGACAGACATACATACATCTCATTTCTCAGCCACCTTTGTGTCTCTTACCTTTTCTTTGCAGGAGGGTGGCTGGAGTGATGGGAGTTGGCTGGGTCTCCCTCTTCACTGCAGGGCTGTCTCTCCTCCCGCGTGGAGTGAGCTCTTCCTCCCAGCAGCATTTGCTTCGGCTTTTTTTTTTTTTAAAGGGGCCTGGTCGCGCTATTACACGGCCACTGTGCTCACTGGGCCCCTAAAGATATAGGGCCCATCGTGTGGCCCTAAGTGCGTGGGCCACCCGATAGGCCCCATCAGCGTGTGGGCTCCGCTACACGTGGGGCCCGGGCATGTCACGTGTCACCCCCTGATGGCGGCCCTGATTCTAACAACCACGTAACCTGGACAGAAATTGATCCGCAACAAATTGATCACACAATAGGAACTCACACAGAATTGCACTGTACGAGGCAACAAATCACTCTCTGCAAACTGTGTTAACACAGCCAGACACAATAACAAATCACACAACATTAAGAGATCATATTTGTGCACATCTGTGAATGTGGTGTACATGATACAGTGTAAAGCAAGCATGTCAAACTCATGGCCCGCGGGCCACACGTGGCCCACAATGGACATCTTTGCAGCCCGGCAAGCCATGAGTACACGCTAAGTGTTCCAGGCAGAGAAGGCACCTGCTTTCGCCAAATTGCAGGTGCCTATTCTGCTAACATTTACCCGGCATGGGAGGAGAGAAAGGTGGATGCAGCGAGGGAGCTCAGCTTTCCTGCTTCTCACTGCTCCCTCGCGCGCGCCGTCTGTAGTGATGCTGGGCACCGGAATATGATGTCATATTGCAGTGTGTGTGTGCGTGAGGATTGCAGTGTATGTGCGAGTGTGGGAGGGGGCAGTGTATGGGGAGCAGTGTGTGTATGGGGCAGTGACTTGTGTGTATGGGGGCAGTGTATGTGTGTGTGTATGGGGGCAGTGAATGTGTGTGGGGGGACAATGTGTGTGCGTGATTATAAAAAAGCCCCCTACCCTTCTTATCACACACAATGCTCCCCCCCCCCACACACACACACACATACACTGTCCCCATACATACATAATAATTAAATGTAAAAAAAACAACACATATTATAAAAAAAGCCCCCCAACCCTTCTTATATGTTTTTTTTAAATGTAATTTAATTAAGACAAATATTCTTTATGTCTTACCAATACTGGGAGGAGGGGGGACATTTCTTAGTCCCTGGTGGTCCGGTGGGGATTCCCTGGTGGTCCCAGCCGGGTCCTCTCTCACTCCTCACCCTGCCGGCTGCGATCACAGTGCCTGCGGACCGAGGAGGGAGATCACTGATCTCTGATCTCCCTCCCCGGTCCACAGGCACATAGCAGGGCTGGCGCTTGGACAGAGCCAGCCCTGCATCAGCAGGCAGGGGAGAGTCTCGGGGGGGGGCGGCAATTGCCCGGTTGCTCCCCCCCCCGGATCCGCCACTGGTCTAGCCGGCAGGGGAGAATCTCGGGGGGGGGGGGCAATTGCCTAGTTGCCCCCCCCGGGTCCGCCACTGTTCCAACGTAACGTCAACGTGCTCCACCTTCACAGGGTTTCAAGAAGTAGCGGGAGGATCCGCTTTTGCACAGGGTGCAGACGGTACCATTTGGGGTATACCAGAGGCCGGACTCTGGAGTCGCATACTGGCAGCGGCAATGTGAGTAGAGTCTGCTTGCTGGCTAGAGGGGGGGACTGGGATTTAATATATGGGGGGGACATGGGGGGGGGACTGGGATTTAGTAGAGGGGGGGACTGTGGTTTAGTAGAGGGGGATGCTGAGGTTTTTTTTATACTGTACTTTTCAAAATAAACCTACGTTTCTATGAAAATGTAAGTTGTTAAACTTAAACCTTGTTTATTTGGCCCTTGCTAGACTTTGAGTTTGACATGCTTGGTCTACAGTGTGTGACAAAGGTTGCTACATTGGAGAACTTGGCCTTAAAGGACCACTCTAGGCACCCAGACCACTTCAGCTTAATGAAGTGGTCTGGCTGCCAGATCCCTCTAGGATTAACCCTTTTTTTAAATAAACATAGCAGTTTCAGAGAAACTGCTATGTTTATAAATGTGTTAATCCAGCCTCTAAAGCCTCTAGTGGCTGTCTCATTGACAGCCGCTAGAGGCGTTTGCGTGCTTCTCACTGTGAAAAATCACAGTGAGAAGACACCAGCGTCCATAGGAAAGCATTATGAATGCTTTCCTATGAGACTGGCTGAATGCGCGCGCAGCTCCTGCCGCGCATGCGCATTCAGCCGAAGAGGAGGATCGGAGGCGGAGAGGAGGAGGAGAGCTCCCCGCCCGGCGCTGGAAAAAAATTAAGTTTAACCCCTTTCCTTACCATCCAGCCCGGCGGGAGTGGGACCCTGAGGGTTGGGGCACCCTCAGGGTACTATAATGCCAGGAAAACTAGTATGTTTTCCTGGCACTATACTGGTCCTTTAAGCTGCATCTCAGAATGAATCTACACAGACACTCAATCAAGAACCACAAGGAAAACGTATGTTGTACCCCTGTTGGTCCTCACTTTACCCAGACTGGTCACTCCATTCAAAACCTCAGGATTAAAGTTCTTAAAGGGAATTTAAAAGACTCTCATGAAAGAAAAACATTTGAGATGAAAATGATCACACATTTCAACACCAGAAATGAAGGACTTAATCTAGTCTTTGAAATATTATGTTAGTTCAATAAAAAAGGTATCATTGCATACTGCGATACTCTGGTATTTTGGCATTATATAATATATATATATATATATATAAGATGCCAAAATACCAGAGTATCACAGTATGCAATGATACCTTTTTTATTGAACTAACATAATATATACACACGCATTTATAACATTTACATTAAAAGTATAACTACAGATTGAGTTGATAATTATACACTGAAACTGGGTTACCATTTAACCTGCGGTGCATGGGTTAAAATCACTGACTGACATCTGGCATATTTTGCCATGAATCACAAAGAATTAAGTGGGTTGAAGTAGTTTAGAGACAAAGCAGTGAACTCGCAGTAATATTTGCCATCAGTAGATGGCTCAAACGGGCTAACCAGGGAGCATATGACTGAAGCCAGAGTAATGTTCTGGGAGCACAGCAGTGCAGCTTAAAAAAAAGAAAAGAAATATTACTAGGAAGGAAAAAGAGGCAGGTCACCACCCCCGACTCTTAGCAGCTGGACATGGACTATAAGATGGGATGGGAAACCACAATTCTCCTCCCCACCCATCAAAGAGATCAATACATAAAAAGAGTGCTTTTACAAGCCAGTGCTGACAAATGGCATTCATAGAGCATGGGGTTCACGCAGGCAAGCAAACCATGCAGAGATCGAACACAAAGAAAGCAGCATAGCAATGTGATCTACTAATGATGACTAGACATACAGGGCTTATAGGAACAAGGCACGAATAATCAGACACTTGGGAAGGGAAGACTTCATGGAGCCAAATACACGACAGAAAAAAATTCAAGCAAAAAAATAATAAAATTAACCCATAAATACCCCCCAAATTATGGAAATTGAAGAGTAATAAAACTGTTAAGCAGGGCTAATATGCAAATAGTTTATTACAAAAGATTATAGGAACATTAAAGGAACACTCTAATTATAACAAAATAAGTTTCATGAGTTCTTTTAATAGATCAGAATATTGAGCCCTCTTTTTAAAAATAAAATAAAATATATTTTAGAAAAATGCAATAAAACTTAACCTTAAATCCAAACCTGAGACCGACTGCTCACAGTAGCCCGATCCTTTTACTGTGAAGCTTGATTACTTTTGTCCAAGTGCCTCTCATAGAGCAGGATTGTGGACACGCAGCATATATGCGGTAAAGTCCACAATCCACCAGACTAATGCTTCTAAAGTGGTCAAATGCTTCTCATAAAGATGCATTACTTATAACTCGTAGTGTCCGATGCCTGTATGCTTTGCATCAAATTCCAGACACAAAATATATTCTATTATTGAATCTATTTTAATCTAAAGCCCTTTGTGAATGCCTGAATGACAGCCACTATGGGCATGGGAATTACTAAATGTAAACAGTGCTATTTCTCAAAAACTGCACTTTTTTAAAATGCAACGCTAGAGGTGCCCTGGCACATGGTAAGTTGTCAATATGTTTTGGCTTTGAATACTTACCTGGGTCCCGCTTAGCACCTAATCCTGTATTTGATTGTAACCATTTGACATGTGCACGGTCGTCTTGTCGGCATATGCATAAACCCCACCATTACCCATTTACCAATAAAACACTGACACCATAGTTTTGGCAAAATTTATATCACTGCTTTATTGATTCTTAACATAAAATATAAAGGTCATTGTCAACAGCAGGCCAATGTTGGCCTGCACAATTACCATCCTGCATTTTACAATTCTAACCCCCTGACAATGGCCTACTCCCATATAACATAATACCCAAACATTGTAACATTTTACTTAACATTGAAACATGACCATTGCCACCAAAGGGCACCATCCATTGCCACCAAAGGGCACCACAAGTGTAGGGGCATACCGAGACACCCTTACACACCCCGGTTCGGAGCTAGCTACGAGCTCGAACCTACCAAACCAGTCCAAAAGGCTACCTATTAGCCCTGAACTCCAAACGTTTTCCCCATCTCACTCTTTTCTCTTCCAATTTTACTCTCCATCCCCCGCCACACCTCAGAGCTTGACTCCTCAAGCTCCTGAGCGACACCCCCCCAGGGAAAAGATTGCCCTCTGGAGGCCCTCCTGAAAACCCAACAATAGAAAGTCCAAGCCCACTTCGGAGAGATGGACCCCATCGCGCCTATAATAACCTGGAAGCATGTCCTCCAGCTCCCTGTGCCGAATTACAACCCCCCCACCGCTTCACATACGCTGCCATCACCTTATTGACCTTTCCCTTAATTTTTGCTACTGCGGAAGGATTCCGCGCGTGTCACCAGTGAAACCTCGGAACCATTTCCGACCATACGACCATAACCCCCGGCAACAACTCCCTCAGCCTGTCCACATCCCTCTTCATGCACTCAATAAACACCTTTTGAGGCAACAACCCCACATCATTGCCCCCTGCGTGAATCCCCACAATGTCTGGAACCTGTCCCTAAAGAATTTTATGAAACATTTCAACACAAATTGCGTTCCAACCCCAACACCGGTAACCAAACCACCGAAGCTGAACCACGGAACTTGGAAAGCCCAGCTGTAGACCACGATGTTACCCTGCAGCTCTCCGATGCGCCCAGTATATGTATGAGTGGCCGACCACCCATGCCATCCGACCTGTAAGACATAATGCAAGCATAGACAACCACAAAACAACCGTGAAACCCAAATTCCCCATCAACCACCCTTAGGATTTATATCAACTTGTCAGGCCTGATGTAAGATCTGAACCTCACCGACTCCCACCTGCCAATCTTCTTCACCCGCTCATCCCCCAAGCCCAGTCTTGCCACTTCAGTAGCTGCGCCAATCCTAAAGGAAAGAGTCCCAAAGTGGCCCGGGTCCACTCCCAACCTTGCCAATGCCTTCCGAAAAACCCTGAGGAACTGGAACTTCAAGTGAAGAGCCATCCCCATGCTTAAAATATGAACCCCCGGCCTTCGTCCTCTCCTCCTGGAAGGCAGCTGCGCACCTAACCAGGCACGTTTTCCCACTCGGGAGCTCCCACAACATAACCAACGTCCCTTTTCCCAATACGTCCGTTTTGGACCGCCTCAGATTAATCCCTACCCTGTTACTCCACACCTCCACATCCACCGCCTGAAGCCCCCTGGCCCCTTGGCGATTGCTGCTGACCAGCTCGCTGACACGAAACGCCCCGAAAAAAGCAAAACTAAAAACCACGGAGAACAGTGTAACTTGGTACCCCGAAAAACACACCTCGGGCAGCACCCGGACCACCCGCTGAAGCCACTCGAACGACACTGGCCTCCTGGAATCCACCAACACCTTACCCCGCCTGAAACCTTTCAATGCCTGCCTAACGAGAAAATGTTCACCCATTAAACTTGAACAAAGAGGCTAACGCTGCTAGTTTGCGCCCGACTACCGCTGCCGAAGCCCCTTAGGTGAATGACCTACACAAGAACCACAACATCGCGTCCAACCGGGCTTCCTTTGAAAGCTGACCCCCCGTATGCTGCACCAGCTCGTCCCATTCCCCACACACCTTACTGTATACAGTACAGGTAGCGGGTGCCAGGGAGTCCCTGATCAGTCCGCCAAGCATGATGTCCCGAGCCACCACATCTCGTCCGGGCAAGACATCCCTTCCGCCCGCGCGCCAGGCGCCACCTGCCGGAATCTCTCCCACTGCGAACGAGATAACGTATCAGCAATAACATTCAACAATCCAGGCATGTGGCGTGCCGGAAAAACAATATTAAAGTGCATACAGAACAAGACACAACGGCGAAGAAGCCACACCACCGGGATAGAGGACGCTGAAAGCCCATTTACTGCATCTACCACTGCCATATTGTGCGAAAAGAATACAACCTTCTTATCCCTCAACTGTGGACCCCATAGGGACAGTGCTACGACTAACGGGAACAACTCCAAGAATGCCAGGTTGCAGATCAGCGGGCTGGCCTGCCACACCACTGGCCAAGTTCCCGCGCACCATTGACCCGAGAAGTAAGCCCCGAAACCGATACTCCCTGACGCATCCGTAAAAAGCTCCAGATCCGGGGAAGACGCCGCCGGCTCCCAAAAGAACACCTTCCCCTTTTAAATCCCGTAAGAATTCCCCCCCAAACGTCCAGAACGGCCTTCATAGCCACTGAGACCCGAATAAGGTGGTGCGAGAACACCACTCCCCCCCCGTCACCCTAGCTAGGAACCTGTTAAAGACCCTCCCGACCGGGATCTCCCGACAGGCAGACACTGAAGCGCCAGGAGCGCGACTTTCTTAGCTCCCCGCACCTCCGTCACTGCCTTCCGGAGTGCCAGCAACTTGTCCTGCGGCAGCCTACACTCCCCTTTGATTGAGTCGATCTCCAAGCCCAAGAAACTCAAGCATGTCGTAGGCCCCACCGTCATGTCACTCGCCAAGAGGATTTCAAAAACGTGCGCCATCCATTCCAATGTCCTCAGTCCCATGCGGCATTCCTGAACCACCATCTTAGTGCCCGCTTCCAGTTTTACCACCCATTCCAGAAACGTGCTAAACTTCTCAAAGTATGCGCACGATATAGAGCACCCCATGAGCAAACATAGATCTACATAATAATCGCTGTCGAAGTAGCATCACAGCAAGTGATGACACTTCGGGTGAATTGGAAAAAGGCGAAAAGCCACCTCCACGTCCACCTTTGCCAGCAATGCCCCCCCGGCCCGCTCGTTGCACCAGATTCACCACTTGGTCGAAAGAAGCGTACGACACCGAACAAAGGGCCTTGTCAATGTTGTCGTTAGCCGATGACCCCTTGGGGTAGGACAGGTGATGTATCAAGCGGTACTTCCCCGGCTCCTTCTTGGCTACCTCCCCCAGCAGTGATACCCTCAAGTTAGACAGCGGGGATTCATTGAACGGCCCGCCACCTTGCCCAACTGGACCTCCTTAAGCAACTTCTCCTTGACCACCCCCGGAAATTCCCCCACCGACTTCAAGTTGCGAAGACGATGACCCACCACCCGTTCCCTAAACGGGATCACGAATCCTTGAGTAAACCCCTCCTCGAGCAACAACGCATCCTCCCGGTTAGCATAGCGGCTTAGCCATGGTAGCATCGCGCCGACCTTCACTGGCATTGCTCCCAGTTGCAGGGGACGCGGCCGAACCTCCGGGC